TGAGTGCTATTTATCATTTAAAAAAGAAAAATGCTGCCATTTGTGACAACACAGGTGAGTTTGAAGGACATTAAGCTAAATAAAATAAGTTGGGCACTTTATGCTCTCATATATGGAATCTAAAAAAATGGAATGGAGAAACGGAGGTAGAAGGCTGGCTACCAGAGGTTCGCGCAAGAGGGAAACTGGGAGGAGTTGGTCCAAGGGTACCAAGTTGCAGTTACGTGCGATGAACAAGTTCTGGAGATATGGTGTACAGCATGGTAACTGAGGTTAGTAATACTATAGCATGCCTTGATGTTTGCCAAGAAACTAGGTCTTAAATATTCTTACCCATCCGGCCATTGTATAAAGGATGGATATGCTAATCAGCTTGAATGTGACAATCATTTCACCATGTATATGTACTAGTTATTTACTTATTTACTTTTGGATTTTTGAGACAGGGTCTCACTTGTATTCCAGGCTGACCTTGAACTCATTGCGTAGCCGAGGCTGGCCTTGAACTCACAGCGATCCTCCAGCCTCAGTCTCCTAAGTGCTGGGATCACCAGCATGTGCCACCAGGCCCAGCACTGTCTATTTAATTTAAACCGCCACAATTCCCCCCTTTAATATATATAACATTTCACTTATCAAAAGTGTGTTATAATCCCCTAAGGAATGGCTCTAATGGGATTGGAAAGTAGGATATTTCCTCTAACTGTGATGATGTGTCGCATGGTATTAAGAACAGGCTGTGAGCCCTTATGTATGGTACTTCATCAATTATACTTCATGTGATTCTCACAAAGGCCCTGTGGAGCACATGGTATCATTATCCCCACTTCAAAATGGGGGAGACTGAGGCACAGAGAAAGAGTAAGTGGCCTCCAAGAAGCCATCAGGGTGGGTTTTGCAAGGCTTTCCAGCCAAGCAGAGGCCGAGGCTTGCTTGGTGTGGGGACCTCTGCGCTTATGCAAATGGATGAGTGCTAATCGCTCTGCTAATGGGAAACACACGGGAAGATAGGATCTGTAGCAAAGCGGAAAGGCCTTCCTTCCACAAACTCAGGGCTTGGAGAGACCCCAGAGAAATCCGGGAAGATGATAAGGCAGTGCCCCAGAGCTCACAGCAGCCCTGTGGGCGGGTGGGTGGGGGAGGGGTTTCTGAAGCATCAGCATACTATGGGCTGCGGTCCAATAGTGACCGGCTATGTGTGGTTGACCTTGTGTCCAAAGCAGCTTGGACAGCAGGATTCCTCTTCCTGGGCTGGACCTCTTCACTGGGCAGCCGGGCCCAGAATTCCCAGCCCCTCCTCTTTGCTCCACCCTGTGGGGAGTTCTGGTGTCATTTACATGTTTGAAATCCTGCCTCTTGGAAGAGTTCAGCTACGATAAGCACTTGGACTCTGAAGCCAGATTGTCTGGGTTCGAATCTCATTTCTGCCACTTCCTAGTTATATGGCCTTGGGCATATTAGCCAACCTCTCTGTGCTGTAGTTTCCTCATCTGTAAACTGGGCATGTTATATAATGTTAATGATATGAGTGAATGAATCCATGTGAGGTACCTAGATGAATGGCTGAGGCTCAAGTACAGTGTTAGGTGGCAGTGATATTATTTTAGAAACTCTGACCAAGCGCTTCGCTTCCCTTGCTCATACCCTGTGCACACTGCCCACCTGTCCTCCAGGGCACTCTTTACATTACGGTCTATGTCTGGCCCTGCTCGTGCTCCAGTTCATCCCCCTCTGCCCCACCAACCTTGGCCACCCCCAAATGACCTGTTTTCCTGAATATGCCCTACTCTTGCCTCTGGGCCCTTGTGTATGCTGTTCCTTTGGCTCCCAGTTCTCCCTTTCACCCTCCCTTTTTGCGTCTGTCTGTTACCAAGAGAGCTCTATTTATGATGCCTGTCAGGTTTTGACAGCTACCCCTGAGTCTCCATGGCCTCCATGTCCCACTGTCCTCCTCCTTACCATTGTGCTGTGATTGACCAGGGTCTGTCTCCCAAATGGGCTGGACCACCTTCCTATGACCAATGAACAGAGCAAGTCCTGACCTAGAAAAGGTTTGACAGATGTTTGTTAAATGTCTCAAGAAGGGGCACAGACAATTACATCAGGCTGTCTTGAGGTCCACACAAGTTCTATAGGCGATGAAAAAGCTGAGCCCATGGAAGCTTAGGAGGTAGTAGAGGCTGGGGATGATTAGAGTTGGCTCTTGGGAAATGGGTGAGGCTTTGAGTCTTCACACACTACCTGTGAGCTGTGTGCCTTGGGATAAACTGCATAATCTGTCTGAACTTCAATTTCTTTCCTGGTAAGTGCAAATTATCAATAGACACTTGGGCAAGAAATAAGTAATGATGTATAGTGCTTCACACCATGTCTGGCACATAGTAGTGGCTACTGGATGGTGATCATCTACTTCATGACCACTGTGATCTGTGGCTGGACCTGCTGACCACAGATGCCACCTTTACTAGCATCCCCTGTGACCTGGAGGCAGCAACCAGATTTGGAAATCTGAATCCAGAGGTGGTAAGCTGTCTCTCTGGGACTGCCCAGGAATTTCAACCTCTCACAGTGTCAGCAAGGAAAAGCCACCTGGAAGTCTGCAATGCAGACAAGACCAGCTGGGCGCTGGACATTCATTCCCCTGTCTGCCTTGCTGAACCCCAGCCACTTCCAACCTCTCCTGGCACTTGGATTCTAAGGTTTGGTTCTTTGGGTTCTAGAGTTTTGTTACTCTGTCTCTGGGATTCTACTGCACCCAACCACATGATTAAAACTATGTTGGGTATAGAAAAATACCAGCATTCATTCATTCAGTCCATGTTTATTTACTACTTGCTAAATGGCTGGACTTTGGTGATACCAAGATTAAAGTGATACTGTGTACTTGCCTCAAGTTGCTCACAGTCTGGAGGGATGGGCCAAGATGTAAACAGGCAATTAAAGGCCAAGTTGTCAAGAACTGTGAAGGGGTCAGGGCTGAGACAGCACCAGGGGGCGTACCTTGAGCCTCTTCTCTACCTCAAGTTTCACACTAAGGGCTCTTTATGTGTGGAATCATTTAGTTCTTACAAGAACCCTGGAGATGTGAATGTGATACTCAACCAAATTAGTTTTCCATGGCTGCTCTAACAAATCACTATAATTCTTGTGGTTTAAAACAGCAGAAGTTTGGGCCGGGGATGTAGCTCAGTGGTACTGCACCTGCCTGGCAAGTGCAAGGTTCTGAGTTTGATTCCTTGTACCCCCCCTCCAAATAAAACAACAGAAGCTCATCATCTTATGATTTGGATGTCAGAGTCTAAACCAAGTCCCACTGGACTAGGGTCAAGATGGTGGATGGGCTGTTGAGGGGATAATGCACTCTCACCTTATTTCAGCTTTCAGGGACTGCTGGTGTTCCACGGCTCATGGTCCCTGCATACTCCAGTCTCTGCTTCTGCTATCACATCTCCCACTCACACGGTGACCTTCCTGCCTTCCTCTTCAGGGACCACTGTGATGACACAGGAGATAATCGGAATGATCCCCCATTTCAAGATCCTTAGCCAAATCATATCTGCTAAATCCCTTTAGTCTTACTGAGCATTGTATTCACAAGCTGTAGACAGGTTGTTACAGACATCTTGAGGGTGGGAACCACATTCAGCCTGCCATACTATCTTACAGATGAGAAAACTAGGGTTTATGAATAGTAAGGAATCTGCCTAAAGTCATCCAGCCAGGGACTGCTAGACCCAGCCTTCCCTGGTCTCAGGCCACAAGCTTTGAACGTTACTCAAACCAAGAAGCCTTCAGGTACAGGTGAACCTTGAACCAGGTTTTCAGGAATGAGTTGCAGTTATCAAAAGGTGTGTCCTGAGAGGAACAGGATGTGCAAAGCATGGTAGTGAGAACCATCACAGCCCTGGGTGTGTTTGAGGGCCATAAATGCTCAGCTTGGTTGGTGTGAGGCAAAGTGAGACAGCGCAGGTAGGCAGGCTTGGGATGGTGGAACAGGCTGCAATTGAACCTGAAAGATGGAAAGAGCTGCTGGAGGATGGTATCTGTGTGTCCTGTGGCAAATCTCTTCCTCTCACTGATCCTCCATTTATTTCCAGTATAGGGAAGTAATAGGTCACTCTTTTGCTGATGACTGAGAATCGGCCTTCCCTCTCCTCACTCTCTGATTGCTCTCGCACCACCTGGCCGGGTCCCACCCATCCCTGGGCTGAAGGAGGGCTGGATGAATTGCCCCCTCCCCCACTGCCAGGACAGCGACGGTTTCCAAATATCTGTCTGTTGAAATAATGTTCTCTGGGCACTGGGCCTCCCTCCCTCCTTCACATTCCTGGGCGAGTCTGCCTGTTTGGCTTGCTCAAACAAATATTGACTTTCTCTGTCCTTCTCGCTCTGGGTCTGTTTAAAAGGCATCAATCTTTGCCAGGGTGTGAGCTCCCTCTCCGTAACCTGTGGCCTCTGTGGGCCCATCCGGGCAGGGAGTGGTGGGGAGGGGCCCAAGGCTCTGGGGAGACCCCTCTCTTGCTTGGCTGCACTATAGAGGCTTTCATAGAAAGCTGTAGCTTTCCATGCTGTCACACATGAGTCCTAAGGGCCATTTAATGAATGTCTACTGCTGGGGCCCGGGGCTGTGGCTCATGGCATAAACCTCAAGACCCTTTGTACTCATTTTTCTAGACCTTGCAAGAACAAGGCAGGAGAATCATATGATCTCCTGTCAGGAAACTGCTGATTCTATCTCCTAAAATGTACTCATCATCAAACTAGGCATAGTGATACCACCTGTAGTCCCAGCTACTGCGGAGGCTGTGGTAAAAGGATTGCTTATCCCAGGAGTTCAAGGCCAGCCTTGGCAATATAGTGAGGCCTTGTCTCAAAAAAAAAGAACAAAAACCAAAAAGTATTATTCACCATTGTATCTGTCTATTTTCCATTGCTGCAACAAAATACCTGACAAAGACAACTTAGAGAAGGAAAGATTTGTTTTTAAAATTTTTATTAAAAAAAGTACAGAATGCTTCACAAATTTGTATGTCCTCCTCGCACAGAGGCCACGGTAATCTTCTCTATATTGTTCCAATTTTAGTGTATGTGCTGTTAAAGTGAAAGATTTATTTAGCTCAAAAAGATGTACTTTAGCTCAAGGTTTCAGAGGTTTCAATACACGGCTGGCCTGCTCCAAGAAAAAACATCATGGTGGAAGGATGTGGCAGGGAAAGCTGCTCACCTCAGCCAGCATGGAGAGCAAGGAAAGGGGAAGGAAGGGGGAGGTGGGGAGGGAAGGAGTGAGGACAGCATAGACCCTTCAAAGACATTCGCAGTGACTTACTTCTTCCAAGTGGGCCTCACCACCCAATAGCCCCCGCAGCTGTGAACTCATCAGTGGATTGGTCCTCATGATCCAGTGATCCCTGACTCTCAGCTCCACCTCTGGAATCAATTCCTGAATACATGAGTCTTTGGGGTACATTTCTTCTTAAAATTTTTTTATTGCTTGCAACATATATTCACATCCCCTTTCCTTGTTCCAAAAAGTCTGCCTTTACTTTATTCTTTTTTTATATTCTGGGTTTTTCCTGTAACAGAAACCATTCCATATTTAATGTTCTGTGTCTGACTTATTTCACTTAACATACTTGATGGTCTGAAGGTCCATTTTCCCGCAAATGACATGGATTCATTCTTCTTTATGGTTGAGTCAGATTCCATTGTGTATGTTTTACGTGTTCATCCATTGATAGCATGCACGTATCACTATGGTGTGATGTCTTTAACTCTTTTGAGAAGACATCAGGAAAGGTGTATTGCTGGATCAAGTGGAATTTCAATTTTTAATTTATGGGGGGCCTCCAATTTCCATCCTTCTGTTGTATCCAACAATGTAGAACTTCCCCAGCATTTGTGGTTTTTTTGTGTGATAGCCATTCTGACTAGAGTAAGGAAGATTCTCAAGAGTTTGAATTTGCATTTCCCTAATAGCTAAAGATGATGAACATTTTTCTTTTTCATGCACTCACTGACCATTTGTACTTTTTCTTTTGAGAAGTGTCTACTCAGCTCATTTACCTATTTTTTGATTGGGTTTTTGGCTTTTTGTGGATTTATTTTGAATTTTTTATATATTCTAAATATTAGTCTATTAGAAGAGTAGCTGGCAACCTTCCCCCCATTGAGTATAGATTGTCTCTTCACTCTGTTGATTGTGTCCTTTCTTCTGCAGAAGCTTTTTAACTTGATGTAGTCCCATTTGATTATTGGTATTAATTCTTGTACTACTGGAGTTCTGTTTAGGTATACTTCATATTTAAACCATAATAACCATCTATTCAGGGCCCTGGTCTCTTAGCTTTTTCTCACCACATCTATTTCCTTTCCACCTGGGAAGACTTGCATCTGCTGTCCCCTGTGCCTGGGACAATTTCCTTGGCTCAGACAGCCCTCTTCTGACCTCTTCGTAAAACATTTTTGCCCAAATGTCTCCTTTCCAGGCCTCAGATGGAACCCTGCTTTGTATCTCCTCTTCCTCCCCTGCACCACTCTTCCTCTCCTGCTTTATCTTTCTCCATGGTATATTTTAACTGTTTCTTTTGTTTTTTGACTCTCTGCAGGGCAGGGTTTTTTCTCTCCTATTCATGGCGGCTCAGAGCTAGAGGCATGGGTACCTAGAGCTGGGAACATGTGACCCCCATTTCATTGATGAGAGTTAGCGGGTTATTAGTGTAACAGTGATGTTTTCCATGCGCTTCACATAAGTAACCAGTGCTCACAACACCAATCCAGAAAGTCGATGTGGCTGGGGTTTGCAGGAGTCAACCCTGGCTAGCCATTTGAGGCAGGGATACTCTCTTCTGTCTCCAGCCCATCTCTCCCTCTGGATTATGCCAGCCATGGACACCAGGCTTCCCCTAGACCTTGCCTGATCTGGCCTGTGCCTCTGCTCTGTGTAGCCCCACATGCAGGTTGGTGAAAAGTCCCACTCTGGCTGGAAAGGGAGGAGCAGGGAAATGACCTTGTGCTGCCCACTGGGAAGGCTTCATCCTGAGAGGCTCTGAAGCCAGTGGTGCTCCTCAGATGGCTGGCAGCAGCAGCCTGCTGTTTAGATCTGCCTTACATAGCAAAGCAAGTAAGGGCACCTGGCTCTGCTCTTACTGAAAGTCGTGTGTGTATGTGCATGTGTGTGTGCATGGGAGTGTTTGCATGAAAAGTTTATTCTTGGGCTTGAGTTCTGACACTTGGCTGCTCAGGTTCCTCTCTGCTCGTGTTACCTGGAGATTCTCATACAGCTGTTGGGGCCTGTTGGTCCAAGGAAGCCAAAGCCCGGGCATCTGTGAGAGCGACTGCCATGTGAGGCCTGGTGCTGGTTACAGGAGAGACAGGTTGAGGATGGGTATCACAGAGGTCCGGTGCACTGCTGCTGCAATCAGATAGATCTTACCTTTTTTCTGCCTGCTGTGTGATTCTGGGTAAGTAACATGAACACTCTGAGTCTCAGTTTCCTAATCTGTAAAAGGGGAATAATGGTATCTACTCCAGATGTTCTTATGAGGATAAAATGCCCTAAAGGCCTGGGACATAATGGTGGATACCTCCATGTGGTTACAGGAAAGCAGGGGAGGTTCTCAGGGCTGGGTACTGAGCTGTCCCATGAGAAGCTCAAGGCTCAGGAGTGAACGGCCAGGCAGTGAGACAGTTGTTTCCAATACATGCAAGGCTCCTCACTTTCCATCTCAAGCATACCCTTCTGCTGAGGGTAATCAGGAGGGGCTTTGATGGTAGATGCCATGGATTAGGGCTGGGAGTAGTTTCCAGGCCTAGCCCTTGGCAGTGACTTTAGAGAGGAGGGTCTTTCAGAGAGGAGTGAGGGAGCAGGGAGGTGGGGGACCATAATTCACACCAGCCTCTGCTTTGGTGCTTGCCTTCTTTGCTTGGAGACCACAGTGGCTTGTCCAGATGTGGAAGAGGAATTGGTCCCTTAGCTCAGCAGTTGGAAAGGGGAATCTGAGTTCCAGTCCTGGCCAGCCACTGATGACTCTATATGTGAAGCAGAGTGTCCCTCTTCACCTATGTTATGCACCTGTCAATTGCGTGTATAGTGGATTAATTCCTACATTCACTAGTATTAGTCAGGTACCTACTGTGTATGAGGTGCTGGGATGGCAACAGAGTCAAGGGTCCAGCCTTGCAGAGCTTACATTCTAAAGGGAGAGAAAAATCCTCAGCAGTCAATACTGTGATGAACACTGCAATGGAGAGGTTCAGAGTGCTTCCAAACTGGGGACAGTGGGGGGAATCAGGGAAGGTATTCCTGAGACAGTGACCCCTTACTGAGGCTTGAAGAATACGTGGGAGTTGGTCATGCAAAGGGAAGGCAGACATGTATGTAAAGGCAAGGGGGCGCTCTAGAGAGAGGAGTTGTAGGTATAAAGGTTCTGGGGCAGAGAGAGCACAAGTGATCTACAAAGCTCTGCCACCCGAGGGCCCTGGCAAACCTTCCCCATCTCATTCGATTCATGGGAGTGCTTCTCATGCTGGATAAGGTGCTCACACTCACTTGGCTTCCCTGTGCTCTCTGCGGCCCCACAGATTGAAGAAGTAGGAAGAAGTAGGGAGGTGGTGGGGAGGGAAACTCTTTCATACCTTAAAGACCTTCTGCATCTCAGGTCCTTGCTTCCATTTCCCCCCTCCCATAATGCCATGTCTCATCATAGTCAGTATTTTCTTATTTCTTCTTTAGTCTCTTCTTCTGGCTCATTTCCTTCTTATCAAATGTACAAGGTTTTTGCTTTTATTTTCTAAAATTTCAAAAACTTTTGTGTGCATACTAAGTATTAAATTCATCTCACAAATGACTTTCCCTTCCAATCTTAGAGAACCAGGGTGTGTGTGTGTGCGTGCGCGCGTGCATGTGCTTATGTGTTCCATGAAATCATGACCTCCATGAGTACTGAGACTAGATAGGGGTCCTGGCAAGGTGGGTGAGAAGCAGTGATAAGAGGAAGTAATGGTGGTTACAGAGACTGAGAGCTGGAGAATTTAGCCTTTATCTCATTCTGGCTTTGAGAGTGGCTTTTGGATGGTGGGAGATGGGGACTTTGGAGAGAGAGGTCCTCCTAACCTTGAAGTTCCCATGACCCAGGAATGGCTATGATTTCACTCAGAACTACCTTGGGAAAGAGCAGGACTTGAGTTAGCTGGTTTCAAGCTACTGCTGCTGGTGCCTTGGAGTCAGACACCAAAGGAGAGCTGTGCTCAAAGGTCCCACTGGCACCAATGGACTGGGAGAAGCTGCAAGGAGCCCAATGTGCTCTTTACAAGGCCAAGAAGGCTGAGCACAGCCCCTGCGGCTGGTGTTCCAATAGCTCTGGGCTGTAAGCAGATGGCTCCCAGGGAGCTCATCCAGGAAGTTGAAGGTGAGAGAGATGTGTATTGCATAGCCTGTGACCTCTGCCTGTGCACAAGGAGCCTGTGGACAGGGAGGACCCACTGGGGATAATACAGGGATTTGTGTTAGAGACCTCTCAGACCTCCAAGTGTCTGAGGTGGATGAGGAACTGGAAGACGTGGGCTCTTCCAGTCTGGTGGGAAGGAAGGCAGTTCTTTGAGGTCTGTGGTGGGTTACAGAGCATACTGGAAGGAGAGGGTGCTAGCTTTTCTTCCAAGCTGCCTGAGTCCATTCTCTGTTGGTGGTGGCATTGTTTCAGGTCCTCACTGATCTGGATGGCCTCACTCAGCACAGATCCATTGAACTCAGTAGATCTGATCAGCTCAGCCCAGGAACAATACCTCCTTTCATCTGAATCCCATCTAGCTTTGCTCAATGAAACGTGCCTCACTCAATAGGACCCAAGTTGACACAACTCAGAAACTCAGCATAAACTCTCTCTCTACCCAGTTCAATGAAGCTCCGTTTAATTGAGTCTTGCTCAGGTTTATCTATGCCTACCCACCAGATCAGCCCAATCAAAGCCCAATCAAAGTCAGCCTACTGCATGTCTATTCAACTCAGTTAAAAACCGAAACCTTTTTATAGCACAGATACTTTCAACTTGATCCAACTCACTCCTCTCCACTAGACTTGACTTTAATCATACAACCCAGCCTATTTCAGCCCTGTTTGACTTCATTCGCCTAAACCTAGTATGGCTTAGCTCACCTTAGTCCAAGGCGTCTGGGCCATGGCTGGTCCTACATTTCATGGAATACTTCAGCCCAACCCAAAACAATGTAGTCCTGCTGAAATCAACCTAGTTTCACTCATGCTCAGCTAGTTTTGTAATTTTGACTTAATTCATCTCAAGCTACTGACTCTCCTTGGAATATGTACCCCGTGAGAGCATAAAGCAGTGTCTGATACATGCTCAGTAAACATTTATTAAATATAGTATCAGGGGTCGGGGATTTAGCTGCCACCTGCCTCACCTGTGCAAGGTCTGGAGGTTGTTCCTTGGAACCAAAAGATAAAGAAATAAATAATAAATAATTAAACTACTAAAAAAAAAATACACTACTGAATGAGCCCTTTCTGGCCCAGTATAACCCAACTCTACATCAATGCACTGGTCTTATTTTGATTGAATTCTATAGCTTTTCATAGATCAATGATCCAACCTGTGAACATTTCCTGTATGTATCTGGTCATACATACAACCAGAATTCTGGTGCTGGAGGTGTTGTAGTAGAAAGTTGACAAAGTGTCTACCCTGCTTGAGCTTACACAGCTAGAAGACAGAAATAAAATAAAAAATGTAAACAAATGTACATATGTGCTTACCTCTAGGCAGTGATAAATGCAGGATAGACAAATTCAGCTGAGTAACGGGGTAGAGAACAGTGAGGGGGGTGGATCAGTAGTGCTGGTAGCCACTAAGAACTATGGTGGCCATAAATAGCTTCCCTCAGAAGATGATATTTGAGCAGAGAACTGCACAAAGTGACGCGAGAGTTCTAATGATGTAGGCAAAGGCACTGAGGCAGCAACAAGGCAGGTGTGTTCAAGGATCGAGAAGGCCCGCAAGACCCCAGAGACTCGTTTAAGTTGGGCTCTCCTGCTAGTCTCTTAGCTTTGAGTGGGTCAATGTGGTCTTGTACACAGCTGTGTTGCCCACATCTGGCACATGATAATATGCAGTAGGCACTTACATAGACCTGCGTTCTCAGTGAATGGATGGGTGCAACTGAGCATAACATGAAGTGGTTTAAACCTAATCACTTCCATTAAACTTCACACATTTTAATTCAGCTCAGCTTTGACAAAGTTTCTTTGGGTCTTGTAACTTGTGGAGAGCAGGCTGAGATTCTACGACCTGAAGAATACAAGACTTTTCATCCTCCTGAGCTTCGGTAAACTCCTCCATTATATGGCAGCACCTGCCGTGCCCACTTCTGTGGGTGTTGTGGGGACCAAGTGAGATTCTGAATATGGAAGAGCTTGGTAGGCTCTAGTAAAGTTTCAGGGCAACCTTTCTATTCTTGGATCTGTGGGCAGGGGGATGGGCAGGTAATGGTCACATCTGTTCGTGATGTCCTGCAAATCTGTGGTTCTACAAGAATATCCAAGACCCAACTCTGAGCAAGTCCCACCCTGGTTTAAAACACTTCCAGGAGTGTCCAGGGAGTCAGAGACAAAGTACAGAGTCCTCTCCATGGTACACAGGCCTGATGGTCTGTCCTCACCACCCACTGCAGTCTCCTCCCTCCCCACTTAGTCCCCTTGTTTCCCAGCCAGGCTCTCCTGTGTGCCCTCTGCAGATTTCTTTTGTTGCCTCTGGGTCTCTGCACCTCTGGTTCTCTTAGCCCAGACTCCAACTCCTTCCTGATTTTCTTTTCTTTTTAAAAATCTTGCGTAGTTGCAGCAAGTTTATTAAATTGCTGTCCTTATGGCCATTCATTATCCTTATTTTTCCTGCCGGGCCTTGCTCTTGGTTTGTCCTGATTTTCCTGTCCCTTCATTTCCCTCTTCCTTATAGGTCCCCACTCTAATGTGTTTAGTGTATGACCTTGAAAATACACGTTTCTTTGAAAAATATAGAGTGTTGTTTTCTTTATGTATGTCTTTAATTTATGTAACTGGCATTTTGCTTTAGCACCTTCTGTTTCTGATTTTTTCTCACTAGCACATGTTTTAGGATCTATATCACGCATGTCCCTCTAGAGTCTAGTGCATGTCCTCTAACTGCACATGCACCATACATATACATTGTATTTTTCTTCCTTGATTAGTGCCCTAATGAGCATTCTTGAACCTTCCCTTCAAGGCACGGGGTTTCTTGTGCATACTCATGTGGAACATTGCTTAGGGGGCTCTGAGTCAGGCCTGGGTTTAATTGCTCTTAGTCCTGTACCCCAGCAAGGCACCAGGCTGGCCACACACCCACCTCAGTCCTCACCAGATTTTACATGGATAGTCTGATGGGTGCAGAGTGGCATCTCACCATGTTAACTGCACAGCTCTGATTCCAGTGAGGCTGTGTCACATTCAGCCCAAGTGCTCTTTGGCTATTTCTTTAGCTGGGTTCAGCTGCTGGTCCTTCAGGCCTTCCCTGGAAGCCTCTTGCCCCACCCCCACTTTGGCTGTGTTCCGTGGGACCCCTGCACTCCCTGTGGGGATAGAATTTATCCTTGCTTGTTGCCCTAGCTATCTCCCCTCGGACTGTGGGGTCTTGCAGGGTAACTCTTCTTGCCTGGTTCAGTGAATATGGCAGCCCCTGACTGACTTGGAGAATGAGCATTAAGTGATATAAATGATTCTGGGTCAGAATCAATGCTATAATTTGGAAGGGCAGAAGGGTCAGGCTGGCAGGGGGCAGTGTGAGCCAGGCAGAGGGCTGGGAGATTTGTACCTGGAAAGGACGAGGAACAAGAGAAGACCGTGTTACTAGATTCAGAGTTTATGGCTGAGCTACAGACAAACCTAGTAGGAGAACCCACCACCTTGGGGTTTTGTTTGCTAGGGCTTGTTGGAGTTGCCAACCCTGGGGTGGTCAGCCTGGGTGAGCACGCAGACCTAACTAAGAGCAGAGAGCAGCCCAGATACCTTTGGAATTTGGTATTTATGGCTTTCTCAGTAGTCTTGACCAATTATCAGCTTCTACCTTATTTAATCAAGGTGCTCACTTTCTCTTGCCCTCTCTAACTTGAGTCCAAGATGTGTCTTTCTAACCCACTCTTAGCCTTTATCTCAGGGCCAAAAGCTGATGGAGTTGGTGGCCTGGCTGTGGGCTCCACGCCAGTCTAGCATCAAAAGCCCTAGCAGCGACTTGCAGCTGCATCTGTGGCTGCTTCTCTGAAGGGCTCTCAGTGGCGGCCCACTGCCCAGCCTGTGGCTGAGGTAATCCCACCAGCGTCTGCTCCCTTCTCTTCTGCTCCCTCTTTTCCTTCCACATGGCTTGGCAGAGGCTGAAAGGCAGAAGATCACAGGCATGCAGTACAAGCCCGCCAACCAGCATGAAACCCCAGGCTTGTCTTTTTCCACCCTCTGCCTCTACTTAGTTTTTCCTTTCTCTGAGGAGCTGGGTTCCCAACATCTCCTTCTTTCCCAGGATCAATCAGTTGGCAGGGTGCTATGGGATACAAATTTGTATTCAATCAGGCCCATGGTGACCATCATAAGCAGGACCCATGCTTCTATACCCAAGCCCAGGCTCCAATCTGTGTAAAAGGCTTGGGGTTTACAAAACTCAGTGGACTAGAACATAACTTTTAATAGCACATTTGAACAGCATTTAATGAGGTTTTAAAAACAGAACTATAAAGTGGTTTTCCTGTAAGGGCTATTATTAATCGTAAGAATAATCATAGCAGTCTAGCTCATCTGCCCAGCATGTTCCAGTATTCAAAACGTTTTCACATTCGTCATCCCACCGGACACCCTTCACTCTCCTGGGAGGTCAGCAGGTCTGACATCTCTTTCAGAGCCGAGAAATGTACTTCTCAAATATCCAAGTGCACGTACGACACTTGGGATCTCGTCAAACTGTGGATTCTGATTCAGTAGGTCTGGCTTGGCCTGGGATTCTGCATGTCTGATGAGATCCCAGGTTAAGCTGAGTTATACATTCATGGACCACACTGGAGTAATGAAAATGAATAATTCAAAATACTTAAATTCAGACAGGTGAAGTAGCAAATCTAAGTAGGCATAAGTATATAAACGCTAGAATTCTTTTCTTCCCTTCTTTCTTCCTTCTTATCTTCCTTTCTTCCTTCAACAAACGGCAGCCAAGAACTATGTGCTAGACATGGTTCTAGGTGACATTAAGCATATGTAATAGGATAAGACATGATACTGATCGATCAGACCATCAGATGGCCAGCTATGGCATTCACTGGGCATTAGTGCTTTAGTTGTGGGGAAAGGCATGTTCAGAAGTCTCAGGGGAGAGTTCGGGTGACCAGGTAGCTGGGAGGTAATGGGGGTTTTAGTAACAAAGCCTGTTAATAATCTGTTCCAGTTACACAAAAGTCCTGGGCACAGTGGGTACAGAGGAGTATCACAAAGAGCTTTAGGCCTTGACCGGCTCTGTGCAGCTTGGGACACAGACTTAGACGAAAGAGGCTGGAGAGGCACCCTGGTAGCCTTGTGAACTGCACACATGCACAACACTGCATTTTGTGTATGACTCCTTCACTGCACCTCATGCAAAGAAGACACCCCATAAATGTTTTTTTTTTCTTTCAAGGAATGAAAGACTGGATAAGCCTCGGGGTGTCCAAATGAGGAAGTGGTTGGTTGTACCTGGGGTGTACGGAGGCAGGAGGAGCCATCAAGGACAGCTTCCCAGAGGAGGTCATGCTGGAAGTGGTTTTAAAGATCAGGAGGAGTTTGCCAGGCAAAAGGATGGGGATGGGGAAGTGTGGAGCAGGGGGTCCTGGTGAACCCCTCTGCCACTTTAGCGCAGGCCGATGTCAGTTCTGTCCTGTATTCTGAATGCTGGATCTCCATTCAAAGCTCCCCTCTTCTCCAAGGTGCTTGGGGCCATTGGATATGGCTCTCCTGGCTCCCTAGGAAGTCACACAGGAAGAGACGGGGGGCTCCTCTTAGAGGATGACTCAGGCCTGCTCAGCACCCTTGGGTCAGGGAGGGCTTGGGAAGGAATCTCCCCAGCGAATGACTCAGGTGGTCCCCTCCAGGAACTCCCAGCTGAGCTTTTGCAGATTTAGCCACACAGGACAATGTCAATGCCAACCACCTGTGAAGTCCCACCCCCACACTCTCACCCCACGGTTCCTAGAGCAACCTCTTACTGCCTTCTCTGTTTCTACTTTCTGTGTTTTGCTATGGGATTCTAAGCCTGGGCATGTGTTAATCTCCATTTTACAAATGTGGAGACTAAGGTTTTGAGAGAGGGCCTGTTTGGGCAAAGGACATAGGAACAATTAGAATGCAAGCTCTGGTTCTGGCTGGGTTCAGTAACTTGTCTAAGACAATCAATCAGCCAATCAGTTGATCAAGAATTCCATCAATCAACAAATATTTTTTGACTGCTTACTGTGTGCCAGACTCTGTTCCAGGTGCTGGGGATTCTCTAGTGAATGACGGGCAAATTCTGTGTCCTCATGAAACACCTCTTTAGTCAAGGGTGGAAGGGATGAACAATTAAAAGCAAAATATAGTATGACAGAGGGTGGCTATGCGTCTTAGTCACTTGTCATTGGGACAAGAAACCACAACTTAAAGGAGGAGAGATTTGTTTTAGTTCACAGTGTCAGTCCACGATGTCTAGCTCCAAGGCAGGAACAGCATGGTGGAAGGGCCTGGGTGGAGGAAGCTACTCATTCCATGGCAGCCAGGAAGCAGAGAGAGCCGGGAGAAGCTGGGGAGGGAGATATGCCCTTCCAGGTCACACCCAGTGACCCACCTTTTCCCAGAAATCCCCATCTCCTAACAGCACAATCAGCTCTAACTCTTCAATGGATTAATGGACTGATGATTGCATCACCCCAAGATCCAATCACCTTCCAAAAGCCCCACTTCTGAACATGTGTGGCTTTTGGGGGGCAGTCTAGATCTAAACGCAACACTGTATTATGGGGAAAAGTTAAGCAGGGAGGGAGGAGAGTGAATGTCAAGGGGCTATTTGCAATCTTAAGAGGAGTAGTAGGGGCTGCCTCCCTGAAAAGATGACTTTTGAATACAGACTTGAAGAAGATGATAGGGCAACATTTACTGGTATGTAGAGGAAAAGAAAGAAGTACAAGTTCAAAGACTTTGAGGTGGGAAAGAAAGTCATTGCTCTTCTCAAGAGCTACGGAGCTCCTTTTGATAAGATTCTGGTCAGCTCAGCCAGAAAGGGACCAGATTCTTTTCTCATCGGCTCTCTGCATCTTCCTAGGAGGCTCTGATGTGTGGCTTTGCTAAGCAAGGGCACCAATTGTCCGTGCAGCTGCTGGCATGAGTGGTGACAAGCTGGACAGGCCCATGAAAGCCCAGAGTGCTGGGATCTCTGCTTTCCCATGGCCTTTCTGGGCCTGGACCCAGCCTGCTGTCCACTGTCCCGGGATGTCTCTCGAGCAGCACAGCAGTATTGAAAGGTTGATCTCCCCATTAGAAGGGATTTGTCAGCACAAGCTGGGGCTTAGCAGCCTAAGCCTGGGTCTGAGGTCTCAGACAGGTTCAGGACTCTGAGGAGCTGACTCAGCCTGGCTCCTGGGAGAATCAAGGAAAGGCCACCAGCTGAGACTATTGGTGTCGGGCAGCACGAACTGCTTGGTATCTCTAGGGGGGCACTGCCAACCCCTCTTGCTGTCTGGAGCAAGGCCCAGGGTCCTAGTTTGACACACAAAGCCGAGCAAGGCCTCATGGCTCAGCTGGGCATCAGGGTCTCACTGCACTCTCTCCCAGGACATCTCCTCTCCCATGATGTTGGATATCATCTGCACATCAGTTGTCCCCAACTTCCCTAGCTTGCTCTTCTGAGGTCCAGTCTATTGATGTTTTCACCCAAGGGAGCCATAAATCTCTCCCACTGAATGTACCTATCCTGGGGCTCCCATCCTCCCACTCAATTTCTGCCTTCCACCAATTCACACACTTCCTAGTGTGTCCTTCATTTCCATACTTATTTTTTTTGCTGCCAGGGATCGAACTCAGGTCCTTGTGCTTGTGAGACACGCAGCGAGCAGCACCACTGAGCTAAATCCCCGACCCTCACTTCCACACATACAGCAGGGGAAGCTCCTGTTACAGTGCCATTTCACAGATGAGGAGATCTTGGAAGGAGGCAAACATCTCCCAGTTTGCACTATACCACTTCACGGAGTCAGCAAGTTTGGAGTCTACCTGGAACACACTGCATCCATCCCTCTTCCCTGCCACAACACATCCAGGCTGCCATTGCTGCACCTTTGAACTACTCTAGCAGTTTCTAGCAGGTCTCCATTAGTGTTTTCTTCAGAACAGCCCAAGTGATTTCTCTCTCTCTCTTTTTTTTTTTGGTGTTGAGGATTGAACTTGGGACCTTGTGCTTGGGAGGCAAGTAGTGGCACCACTGCACTCAATCCCCAGCCACAACAGCCCAAGTGGTCTTTAAGAAAATATGTATAAGGGCCGCGGATTTAGCTCAGTGTTTCCGCTGCCTGCCTCCCATGTACAAGGTCCTGAGTTTGATCCCTGGCACACACACACACACACACACACACACACACACACAAAGAAAAAGTATAGAGTTGATTCTACCCCTTCTTATTGTTCTTAAGATAAAACCCAAACTCGTCAACAAGCCCTGCCAGGCCCCATGCAGCATGGCCTGTGTCATACACGTTCTGTCACACAGTGTTGAAGGGAGCCTATGTGTGATGGCCATGTGGTCCAGCACTCTGAAGCTGGAAACCTTTACTTTTTCCACTCCAACTGGCAACATCTGCCCTCCTTTCCTAGTGCCTCTTAGGAGGGCATCCCTACTCCTCTTTTCCTTCTTCATGCCATTCTGCCATGTGGATCATATAAGTCTAGAGTGCAGTGGAGGCTGGGGAGTAGGAGGAGCCACTTGTATGTTGATGAACCTCATCAGGGGGTTGAGGAAGGGCTGCCTTCTGCTTTGGAAACATTCCACTGATTGCTCTGCACAGCTCAGCAGGCTGCCCTGGCTTAGGAGGAGAAGGAGGGAGAGGCAAACACCCTTCATTTTAATTAAAGCCAACTTTACATTGTTGTTCCATTTGCCTGTGTTATTGCATGAGCTTACAATAAAGTTATATGGCGCCCCTAGGGCGGCTTCAGCTGCGTGATAGAATGTGTCCAAGTTCAGCACTCCACGATTATGCTCAGCTTCTCTGCAGGGTGAGTCAGAGCAGCCTTGGGTCCTTTCTGGGGTTCCAAGCCATGGCTTAGGGCTCAGACATGTTAGCAGCTCCTTTATTTGTATTTCATTTATTTCAAAAACATTTATCCAGTATTTTTTTATGTGCCTAGCAGTGGTCAGGTGCCAAGTCTGACCCTGGCACATTGCTGGATGCCCCGAGGGATATAAATACCTAAATCTCTAGGACTTAGCCTGCACCAGTCTCCCTCTAACTTGGAGCCTCATACAGTCATTCCCAACTCTCTCCCCAAATGCTTGTTCTGGCCTTTTTTCCCCATGACTTTGAGGAGGTACTAGCAATTCAGCTGAGCAATCTCTTATATTTAGCAGTTCTCTAAGTTCCGTCCTGATATCTCTGACTCTCAAACACTCCTGACTAGATCCTACCCTCTCTTTTTTTGTACCAGGGATTGAACTAAGGACCTTGCGCTTTTGAGGCAGGCGGCAGAACCACCGAGTCAAATTCCCGGCCCTCCACCCACTCTTGAAGGGTCAGTACCAATGCTGCCTTCTCATTGCAGCTGTTCCTCACCACATTAGAAATGACTTTTTTGGTTAAGGTATGTTTTACATACAGTGAAATGTGTAGATTTTAATTGTGCTTTAGTGAGGTTTAGTGAGAAATGCATACACTGGTGTATAACTACCACTCTAATCAAGCCAGAATATTTCCATCCCTGCAGAAAGCTCCCTCATGACCCTTCTCAATCAATTCCATCCTACATTGCCGTTGTTATAACTTCTAACACTAGACATTAGTATTTGCCTGTTCTTGAACTTTACATATCGACTTTTGCAGTTGAACTATTTTGTGTCTGATTTTCTTTGCTTAGAATTTTTTTTTTTTTTTTTTTTGTACCAGGAATTATCGAACTGTGGATCTTGTGCTTGTGAGGCAGGCAGCGGAACCACTGAGCTAAATTTCTGGCCCTGCTCAGAATGTTTCCAAGCTTCATCTATGTTGTTGGTGGGCTAATGATTCATTTTCTATAAGAGATGGATTCTATTTTGCATATTCACTTATTTGAGTTGTTCACAGTTTTGGCTATCATGATAAAGCTGTTATAAAAATCCTTTATATAAGAGAAATGGATTTATGTTTTCATTTCTTTTGGGTAAATGACTACAAATGGAATTGCTGGGTCATAGAGTAGATGCATTTTAACTTAAAACTGCCAAAGAGTTTTTCACAGTGGTCATACCATTTTTCTCTCCAGCAATTTTCAGCGTTTTGGTTGCTCTACATCCTTGCCAATGTTTGCTGTTGCCAGTCTTTTTTTAGTTTTAGCTATTCTAGTAGGGGTGTAGTTATATAACCTTGTAACTTCAACTTGCATTTATAAATTCAGTACTTTTAATGTACTTATTAATTACTTGTATAACTTTTGTGAAGTGACTGTTCAAGAGTTTGCCCTTTTGCACTGGTGTTGCTGGGGTGCATGCTAGGTCAGCGCTCTACCACCAAGCTATATTCCCCAGCCCTCAGATTTTGTGATAGAGTGATAGAATGAATGCGAGTAATAGGCAAACCATATTAATTTTGTTAATGTCTATTGATGAACAAAAGTTTTAAAATTTCACCAAGTCCAGCCAATTTTTTACTTTATGATTCGTGCTTTTTGTATTCTAAGATTTTTTTTTGCCTCAAGTCATAAATATAGCCTCTGATGCTTTCTTCTAGAACTTCTGTAATTTTTGCTG